ACTGTAAAACATGCAACTGTTCCAACTGTTCCTAACACAACACATGAAAACATTAAACGTGTTGAAGATAAACAGTTTGACCAAGATTTTCTTACATCTAGATGAAACTGGTGTACAAAGCTTTCTTAATATGCAACAAAACAATACACTGCAAAAAAAAACTATTTTATGTACTTGCATTAGTAAACAGGTTTCTCAGAAAGAAAAAGGAAATTAGAGAAATACAAACAATACCAGTTGCTGATTTTGATCCTCTTCTTTTAAACGTTGTGCTTACCATACGAAAAAAAGATGGTCAAGAGTATGAACCTTCAATTATCTGTGGCTTCATAAGTAGTCACTAATATGGTCCCTCTATCATGGGAGATGAAAATGATGAGTTTCAACCTTACCAGAAAAACACTAAAGGCCTAGCAAAAGCTTTTAAAATAAAAGACAAGGGCAACAAACCTAAAAGGGCCCAGCCATTAACAGATGAGAAGATCATTATTTTGTCATGTTTGTTTGACAAGGATATTCGTGGTGGAAATTCTCCTAAAGCCCTTTTAAACACAATATGACTGAACAATTGTGTTCAATTTGGACTTAGAGGTGTCTCAGAACATTACTCAATTCGGTACACTTTTAAATGAAATAAAAAATTCTAAGACAGCAATTTTCAAATGCCAAAAAAATGGATATGGGGTATATGTCTGAAAATTTAAACAAACCCCCCCCCAAAAAAACGAATGAGCGATATGACATACGTGTATTACGCACACAATTATCTCCTAGATCTGGTTGATACAGTTATTTCATTGGCAATCATACCACATCTTATTATTTCTTTTTTATACATGACAAAAATCAGGGTGCTAGTTCTGAACTCCATATATAGTGTACAAACATTGCATCTAGTTGTCGCTTTTGTTTCACTGAATGATACATGTACATTGTACATGCATCCGATCTTGATGAATTAACTTAATAATGTCCCATAATATATAATTCACTATTTTTGTTAAGAAAACTATTATTCTGCATACATTTGACATATCCCCCATCTATAAACTACTGCTAGTGAATTTTTGCATAATAGAATAAAAAATGAGTTTCGTCAATTTTATAGTAGGTCATTTCCAGCTCAAGTCTTGAGAATTTCACAAATACTCGTCAAATTCAGATATGCATATTCCTTAGTTGATGACTGGGATGGAGTTCTAATTCTTGTAGCTGGTGAATCAGAAGTTCTGAAAATAAAATAAATACAACAATGAGTCCAGCCTTCTTATGTGATTTTTTATTGTTTTCCTAATGCAGAAGAGTAAATACACAACAAACATGAAACTAACATTTAAATCTCAGGCCCTTGATTTTCTTTTTTTAAATATTTATATTTTGACATTTTGGCCTCTTTCTATACAGTATTTGTTTAGCTCATTGTAGAAGGCGTTAATCCACATCATTTGGTCTCTAGTCTCTGGTTAATATTTGTCTTATTATCAATCATACCGTAAAGTCATATTATATTAACCCATTTCATTTAAATGTGCCTGTCCCATACCATTCCACGTTCAATGCATAATTAAAACAATGAACTTGTCAATTCAACAAATTCAAGTCCTTTTTAATAAACGAGTTACACATGTCGACAAATATTCAAATGTAAAAATTATCTTTTTATTGGTCAATTACTTAAGAAGTAGTTACTGTATTTTATTTGAATCTTGGCCTACGTAAAATGTCGCAAATCAAGTTTACCTAGCGATACAGAGCGGAGCTGGTATATGGACATTTGCGACAGTAAAACCAAGTTTATGACGATGTAATGTACAATGCTTGTTTGTTCGATGTTGTCATTTACTGCGATTGACCTACGGTCAACTGGTGTAACTCATTTATAAACAAACAACTTGAGATTGGTATAGATATTCTCAAATTGTCAAACATATGAAAACAATGTGGGTCTTTTCAGTTTGGGAAATGTTAATTTAAACACTGCATCTGATGGAGTAAATACCTAGAATTGAATGAAAGGGAAACTAAAACTAGAACAGGTGCAAATGTCGCAGATGTTCGAGAAGTGTCGCCTTTGATATATGAAACAAAAGGGGGTCGCGATTCAATTAATTATTATGAGATCTACAAATCAAAAAAGCCCACAAAACTTCTGTGATGCAGAGGACTCATTTTACGTGGCGCCGCACACAATTCCAGTGGATGACACACGCTCCCAACTATGGTATCTTCGTCAGAACATAGAGCGAGAAAGTTGTGTTCTATTGTCAAAACAAGGAAGGTTGACTGAGAGCTAGACAAAAAGAAGCGTTTAACAAACCACAATGCCCGAAAGAACCTTATTCAGAAACTTAGGTCAAATGAAATTGTTGACACGGCCATTATGCAAATTTCGGGTCACAAGTATGTAATCTCAATAAACAGTTATAGTTATATCTCAGCAAACAAACAGAGAAAAATGTCAATTCTATTAAGTGATATCAGTAGCGAGAAGACTTGTCACACTTCCACCGGGCCAAACTTACCATGCACACCCGTGTCAACTGTTCTCTCCTCTCTGTCTCATCTTGTCAACCAGCAAAGCAACTTCGACATGTTTGCATCTTCCATGAGCTCGCAGACGAACATATCCAGTCGTATCAATTCCATGTTTTATGGTGCTACCCTCCACATCAACTACCTCAATGTTTACATGAACTGCCCGCCTCAACAGTAATAGCCACGCCACTTTGCCAGTTTCCGTCACATCACAATGTGTAGTACCATTTGTCAAACTCTACTGTTTATGTCTTCAAATTGTTCATTTACATAATACGTTTATTAATGTTACTCTGTTGTTAATTCAGATAATTTTCTATTTATATTTCTCAAAAAAATGTCAATGTCTTATCTATCGCCTGGACTTGATGAACTACTACGTTATAGAGGTTATTACCCTTTTCATGTTCTCTCTCTCAGAATAAATGTATTACATTTTTTTTTTAATATTTTTTATCGATTTATACGTATAGTATTTGAAAGATGATATTTATTTGTATTCTGCACGAAACAGGGGGAAATGCTCGGTTCTAATGTATTCTGTTACAACACTGTCCCAGTTTAGGTGGAATATTTGGCGCTCACAACGATGTTTAATCCTGCCACATTCTGTTTGTGCCTGTTCCAAGTCAGGACCCAGTAATTCTGTTATTGTCACGTATTGCTGTCTGTAATTTTTTTTGCTTATGTTTATATAGATTATGCTCTTGGTTTGCTCGTATGAATTTATTTTTATTCCGGTATATCTTGGCTTTTACATGTTTTATATTTTAAACAATATCTTCTTAAATAAATACTGATGTAGACAAAACATCATTACTAGAAATATGTATTTGAAATCTTTGATATTTCAAGTAAATAACTGGCTCCACCTGCATTTACGCGTTCAAGTGCTATCATCAAACAATGTACGGTCTTGATTTTTGACTTTCTTTTCCATTTAGCCAGGATATCTGTAACCAATCTATGGATTGAAATTGGAGATTTGATGATTTTAATTTTTCGCCAATTTTATGTGCTTTCTATACAAATGTTGTAACTACAATCCCGTCCTCCTTTTCCCCGAATTTGACCTACCGAATTATACTTGTCAACACGACGGGTCCACTTGAGAAGTAGGATCTGCTTACCCTTTCGGATCACCTTTGTTCACCCAAGCTTTTGATGGAGTTCGTGTTTCTTAGTCTTTAGTTTTCTATGTTGTGTTTTGTGTACTATTGTTTGTCTTTTGGTCTTTTTTATTTTAGCCATGGCGTTGTCAGTTTATTTTCGACTTATGAGTTTGAATGTCCCTTGTATCTTTCGACTCTCTCTTGATCAATGTTTAGAGAACACCTAAATGCATATATATTGATTGTGAAAAGGGTAAGCATTAGTAATTTCCAGTTTGAAATATTCCTTCTTGTGTCAGGAGAGAGCTGCTTATTTTACATCATTATTCAAAAAATGCATATATTATGGTACTTTTTTCGTAAATAAAGGAGATTTAAGCAATGTTTTATTTCTTAAAGTTGTTTCTCGTGTCAAATACTAGTAAAAGCTAACTTGAACCTGATTTCTATGCACTATTGCTTGAAATAAGGGAGATCATTTGCTACTTCCAGTTTGCATACTGTTATTTCACGTGTCATATGATAGATCTCGTCATACTGATTCAAAACATTTTGGTTTCTATGAAATTACTAGTAGTGTAGAAAGAGCTAACTCTGATTATACAATGTCACATTAATTTGACTTTTGTCAAAACTATGCGTCTCCTAACTTAACGCATACGATATTTATTATGTACCAGTGGGAAGTTTTGCCTTATAGCATAAACATTCATGAGACAATAATTCATAATAATTGTCATCGTACTGGTCTGAAATTTTCAGTGTTTCATTATCTTCAACTTCGTATTTGACTTGGTTTTTCAATTATTTTGATTATAGCGTCTCATGAATACGAAACGCGGCGTCTAACTTACAAAATTATATGGCTGGTATCTTTGATGAGTTTTTGTTGCCTAAATACATCATATCTCTGTCGTACTGTGCCAACCATTTTGCTTCTTTCGTTTTTTGTCTAAACCAAAAAATATTTCAGGGAAATAATGATAGAAAATAATGATCAAAAGCTAGATTTGACTTTCGACTTCGAATTCAATTTAAAGGTCACAAAGCAAGGATCTCAAAACAAAACAACTTAGGTCTATACTATATAATATGAGATATATCAATATACTGCATCATTCACACTTTTAGATTACAACTTGGACTCTTATATATGCATTTAGGTGTTCTCTAAACGTTGTTCAACATTGGGATTTTAATTAAAGTTATAATGGTTAAATTCGTATTTTCGAAAATAAAAACCCTACATATCCTAGGATACACATACCGATAGTTTGTATTTATCACAAACTTTAATTTCTATCTTACCTGGGCCGTCTGTCATTATGAGTGTTTTATCTGCTTAAAAATCAATAAGAATTGATCTCAATATTATCTGAAGACATGTTATAACCGAGAAAAATATTGAAGACGTTTGCCGTACATGTGTGTACCTCAAAGGTAAGACAATACTTTTTATGGTATTTACTGTAAACTTTTTCTTATTAAAACATGTAAAAATGCGACGAAAAGCACAAGTTTGAAATATGTCCTTGCACTTGAACGAAATAATCGAGCTAAAACGCCTATTTACTACTTAGAGATCATTCAGAAGTTCAAAATTGAAACAGGTGAAATATATATTATTGGCTTAATGATTATCAGTGGAACTTTGTTATGATAATTTGAACGAGTATTTAAACACATACATATTTTTGCTGCTACAATATTAAAACAAACAGCAAACTAATCAATCATATTTCACATGGTATCATATTATCTGAATCTACATTGATATTGTAACAGTGAATCTTTACCATACGCGGCGTCTGTCTTAAAATAATATAAGGCTGGTCTCTTTGATGAGTTTTTGTTGGCTAAATATATCATATCTCTAAATAAATTTGGACTTTTCAGAAAGCAATTCGGACGCCTTAAATTTATGAAGAGCTGCTTTTAAGTTTCTAGGTGAGAAACCTACTATAAATAATCACTGTTCCAATTCGAGCTAATGTTTCAAGTAACGACATCTTGTAATAAAGTACTTGGTGAAAACCTTTTCCACGATCTCGTTTACGAGATTGTAGTTGAAGATGACAAGCAAAATCTAAATTTAAAATGACCTTGGCTTGTGGCCAATAGGTCTTTATCACTTATAGAATTATCCCCCAATTAATATATAACAAGGGAAATAACTCTAACAAGGAATCACATCGATTTAGTCACAATTGGCTGACACATCCTTGAGGGTGAAAATAATATCTTTTACTCTTTTACTGAACGAGTATTGATAACAACAAAAACAGTGTTCGGAGAAATTTCTCTTATAAATAAAATGTGTTCGGTTAAGGGATGATATTTGATAAAACTTGTTAATTTTACAGTAATCAAATAGTCCGTTTCTATGTATGTTGGCGTTTGTTTTTGTAGCCGTGCAGTGTTACTGTTTTTCCGGGTTTTTTTACCCCTCTTATAGTGATGTGTTTCCCTCAGTTTTGGTTTGTGACCCGGATTTATTTCTGTTAAATCGATTTATGACTATTGAACAGCGGTATACTACTATTGCCTTTATTAAGTATCTGCTGTTGAGGTTATCATAATTTCTTTCCAGTAAAATCTCACTGCGAGGCATAGGCTTATCGTTGTGCCTTTCTTAATATTCATTTTGCTGTGGTCATTTCAATCTTAAGTTGGTTATTTCTTTCTTGGGGAGCCCCGAAAAATACCAAACAGCCTATTGTTGATGCACATCAACTAACGCAACTTGGTACTGACATAAAAGCTCTATGACGTTGTTTCTAGCCATGAAAAAAAACGTCAAATTATAACGTCCTATTTCGCGTTTTTCACGGATTCCAACATGGTGTACGCTTAAAACTACGTCTTCCAAGAAAAGTGGAATTAAGCGTCGCACTGATACCTAGTTGAAATTAAACACAAATGGACACAAAAGATACTACACTATCTGTAACCTCCGTTCTAATAAAAATAATAATAAAAAAAAATTTTGAACTCGGCTTTTTGCATTTGCGCCGATCTGCATTTCACTTTTTTCTTTCACTTGCGCCGATTTTGTCTTTCATTTGCTCCGACTGTGTACAGGTAAATTATAGGTGAAAATTATTTTTTTATTTATCATATAAACCTCTTCCGTTAGCCAGTTGTACATATGTTAATTATAACATGTAGATAACTGTTGTCCCCTGCTCACAAAGGGGAAATGGGAGTAGAATTTCGAGCAGGATAAGTCAATTTAAAAGATATTTGTGCACTCTGTTTACATCCACTAAAATCACGGAGTACAATTCTATTTACAGCATTTCAATGCACCACAATAAAATCCATAAAAATGTAATACTAGTACAATGAATTATTATCTTGCCGAGAATTTATATGCCACACATCTGATATATTCCTTTCTTGTCATTTTATCTTTTCTATACTTGTTGTACTTGCCAATAACGAAGTCCATCTTTTCTTTCTCGTGTCAAAACGAAGTTCTCGAATAATATGACCAAAATCATCTTAAACATAAGGGAACACTATTTATATCCATATATTACCATGCAATATGCATTCTAGGTTTACTACATGTACATGTGTTTACTCGTATAGCAAATAAAGTATCGGGGCTAGTGAAAAAAAAAATAGGCGCTAATGAAAGAATCAAGTCGGCGCAAATTAAAGATCGATTTTTTTTTAAATCGGCGCAAATCTCGTACGCCCGTGTAACTTTACACTGGTAAATTTATATGACTTACGCTTAGAATTTTAACTTAATATGTGATTTTAAAAACTGAGTTTTCAGAAGGTTGGGCCGATAAACAATACTTTCTAGAAGTTTCGATATACTGGCACATATGCATGTTGAGATTAACTTATTTCTTAAAGATTCTCGTAAAATAATGGTAATCTTGCAAATTTTATCTATACTGCTTAATTGACAAAATCTTATAGTAAAAATAAAAATGATAAAGGTTTATTGTCTTTTGTCATTTGTTTCATTTCAAATTGTCTAAAGGAGAAATGATAAAGATTTCGCCTGATCTCACAGAAGCTTAAGGCAAAAAATATAAGAAATTAATATATTCAGTGAATGTGAATTAAAATAAAAATTTACGGGTTTAAAACAAACTAAACTTGTTGTAAATTTAACTTATGACAAAAACAATTGCTTAAAGAACAAGATCTAACATAAAATTTCTCACTTTCAAAAAGCTACAATGACCGGAAAGATTGAAAACAAATTCCGATTTTCAATGCCGGCATCTATACATACAACCTTGTCTTTGTTTTAATTTCCAAAATGAGCTATTTATATTCATAATATTTTATCCTGTTTTGAGAAATACTTTTCAACGGAAAATTATTTCTTAGATTCTAAATCAATTTTTGAATTAAAAACTTATTTGTATTTTATATTTACTGTCTCGTTTATTCAAAACACGTGAGGTAGTAATAACGGGGATCGTATTTTATGATAGGTTAAATGGATGTAAAACGTTTTAGAATCAAAAACTTTAATTGATATATTATACCAATAATTTTAATTTTCTTATATTTTAAGTATTCAGAAATAATGAATCCACAAACTAGATGGAATAATTTGTATACGCTCGTCTTAGTCGGGACACATAATGGTATAAAAAAGTCCGTCCGTGCTAATGTCTGTCCGTCTGTCAACAGTAGCGAAAGAGTGCGCTAGGGCGAAGTTCTGAAATTGACGCGACAAAAAAAACCACACATCTAGTCTAATATAGTCAAATAGTCTGTAAGTTAGCCAGTGTCATCTTTCATTTCTCTTTTTATTTTCAATGATTTTGCTAATAAGAGGGAGAGGACAAAAACAGAATTTCCTTTATAAAGCGTCGTAAAAGGTTATTTTGAACATTTTTTTCATTCCGACGGATGGAGGTTAATTTTGTGCGGCAACAACATCATGAGATCTGATACTGATACATACATGTGTTCTCTTGTATTACCGGATAATAAAGTAGGTGAATATAGTTGTTTTTCTTGATTCTTGAAAATTTAAATGTGGGTTTCAAACGTCCAATTTGCAATTTTTTTGAAACAGTACGCCAGCAAAGAAAACTTGTACTATGACGTCAGATTCAATGTTCTGAAGAAAGACAACTCTTTTCTTCAAAACGAACGAGAAAAAAACATGAAAATTAATCATAACTTTTTTGAAAGGTCGGTGACATATAATTTTTTTTTCTTTATTTTGAAGAGTACACATGACACTTTCCTTCTTGAAATTTTTATGAAAAAATCACTGGTAGATATTTTTTAATACTTGAAACGTTTTTCATTCTTGCGTGTTTTTTTTTTTTTGGCGGGAATGAAATAAATCATATTTTTAAGATCAAAACAATAAGAGTCTTAAAATCTTGAACCTGTATTTGAAAGACACAAATCTACTGTTTAACATAAAACAAGAATTATACTTGTAGGTTTGATATAATGGAATTTTTTTGAGAGTTTAAATAACAAGCAAATATCATGTTAATATTCGAGAAAAACACGAAACTGAGGTTGCTATAGTGACAAAACTAAGTCGGTGACCCCTAATTTTTTTTATCATATTTTGTTCCTCAAATCGTGAAATACCTTCACACAAAATTTTAAGGAAAAATCACTGATAGAACTGAATAGGCTGTTTGGTCTTTAAGCTTTCATATTCTATGTGCTGCTCTTTATTGCTTTGATTCCGTTCCTTTTTGTTCATTCCATATTGCCTTACCCTTTGATTTTACTCTTATTTGTTTTCTATATTTTGTAATTCCTGATTCTCCAGCTTTATGTAGTGTTTTCTTCTAGATTTTTAATATTTTGCTCAAACGTTTTCTTTTGAATTTCGCATAAGATTTGGTAGGTCTTTATTTGTGGCTTCTCTATATATTTTATTGTTACAGTCAGTGCATTTTAGTTTAGCTATATGAATTGTAGCTTTTTTTCTGAGCTTTTTAAGCTGGCATTTCAAGGTAAGTAAGGCAGGTACATGAGCAAATGTATTCTGTGGAGATATATCAAGGACATCAATTTTGAAGACTTTGTTCACAATTTCGCTGTTCCATGTGAAAAAGGAAATAGTCAATTTGACTTTTTGACTGGCCGTTCTGGTGATAGAAAGTTTCTTTTATTCGGTATTTGTCAGTTTGTTTCATACCTTTTTTATTTGCAAAAGGTTTAAAGTGTCTTATCATACGGTGTAGAAAGTCTATGCAACGATCCATTAATGTCCCCACAAACTACTATCTCGTGTGTATCTTTTTTTTCCTTCATCATTTATTTTTATTTGGGCCAGGGTGTCTTTGTATTCTATGTCTGCATTTTTGTTATCAGATGGCATATATATATACATTTATGAGACAGATTCACTTATCTCCTAGTCGTATACTTATGGCTTGTTTAACAGTAAATATAAATAGTATTTAGAGATGGTATTTTATTGCTTT